TTTCTATTTAATTTTATTGCAACACATAATAGAAGCAGCTAAAAAAAAACCCTGCAGACAATCTTTCTGCTAAATCCAAATCATCCACCTTAATTCAGACGCTTAAGCATGCCCTGAGCATAATTAATTTATTTTGAGGCTTCACATTTATTTTGTTCTGTTGCCTCTCAAAGAACAGCCAAGACACACAATTCATTGGAAAATGCATACATAATGTTGCTGCTCCTTATTCTGCAATAAGAAAACGAACACTGGTGAGCAAGTCTGTACATGCCATTTAGCTGAAAATCAGTTGACCTCAGCTCAGTGAGAGGGCTACTCTTTCCCTATTCTAATACTACCCTGCTTTTCAGAAAACATGTTTTATCTTATACACATAGCAGCTAACTTCTTACCATTTACATCACTTAAACCTCAAAACAAAACCTCCACAAAGGGCTCAAAACTATGATTTTTACCTAAACTCAAGACACGCAAACTCAACTTAGTGGAAAAAAATTAGCTTTAAAAGTAAAAAAACTACGAGACTCTTTGTTCTTTCTACTTAGCCCAAGCACTCTTGGAACAACAACAAGCCAATCTATTATTTACACTTCAGAGTAGCCATCCTTCTTCATTTTGTTAAACACTACAGGCTACATTCAGTATTATGTGAATGGACTTCTAATAGCACAACTGGAATTCTTGCAACTACCAAATCTGTTTTGGAGAGTTACCCCATCACTTCATAGCAGATCTAGCAAATGTTATATAAATTTCTCTCCTTGCCCTCAGCAGCCTTCACTATTAGCCTTGGTAGCTGGGGAAGCCTGGAGTTGAAGTTCAACCTTTGGAAGAACATAGGATTCTCGTCCTTGTACCCAAGGACAAGAGGGAATGTATGCATTAAATAAGTGGCTCCCAACCATGGCAACTTTGAGGTGTGTGGACCTCAACTGCTGGAATTATTAGTAATGGCCATGCTGGCTGGGGAATTCTGGGAACTGAGGTCCATACATCTAAATTGCCCAGCCTGGTAAACACATTTTCCCCCTAAAATTTGTAAACAGTCACACTAACACACTGCATTAAGCTATAAAGTGACTTGGTTGTCTTCGACCAATATACTATGTGAAGCAAACACTATGGTTTAAAAACCATGGTTTATACTGCATAAGCTCAGCCACCTATGGGGTCACAAAGCATGTCAAGCCAAAGCCAAATAATAAATCATGATTTAACAAACCAGAGTTTAGCACAATGTATCAACTTAATTTCTGCTTGGTTTGAACATTTCATACAGCCTGGATTAATAACATTTACTGCTAAGGTTTATTATATAGCTTTGTTGCCAATCTTTTTAGAAAAATACCCATGAAAGAGAAAGAAAATTAAATCTTAACTATACCCACATAGTATGATTTACCCTACTTGTTCCGTATCTTAGACTAGAGCAATTTGCAAGGAAGAAATTAAGACTAAAAGCTTAATCAAGCAACTGTTCCGCTATGCCCCATTTTCAGAGCAAGTGACATTTTTATGCTAAAACAAATATGTCATAATTGAGATTATCAGCAGCATAAGAACTATGATGTGGTTTAAAGCCAGGTACACACTGAAAACAGCACTACCTGGCCAATGCCAAACTGAATTAATCCATTTAATCCGCTGGTCTAATTTGATTACTTTAAAATAAATTATCAAGGGATACTTCTGACCCAGGTTGTTTATAAAGGAGAAAACATACACAATCTCATATTGAAGTAGTTTTACTGCTACTTAGCTGTGAGTCTGCTCTCAAATCTGAATACCCCCTGCCTGGGTATTCCATACATTACACTAAGCTATACAATTTATAAAGGAGAAAACATACACAATCTCATATTGAAGTAGTTTTACTGCTACTTAGCTGTGAGTCTGCTCTCAAATCTGAATACCCCCTGCCTGGGTATTCCATACATTACACTAAGCTATACAATGGTTTGACTGTTTTCAACTTAACATAATGTGTGAATAAAGCCACTGACATTTGTAAACCATAGTTTATGGCTCAAAACTGAAGCCTACTCACCATGGGTAAATATACCATGGCTAACACAAGGCACACAATTTTGGATCCAGGTGCAAACCATGGATATATAAGAAAAATCCCAATCAATCAATCAATCAATCAATCAATCAATCAATCAATCAATCGCTGCTTCTTCAAAAAAGCATAGCCTTAATATTTTCATTGCAAAAAATGGTGCATGTAATAAGAGAGGATCAAATCATTCTGATCCCACGTGTATATATTACCCAAACAGAATTGCCTATCAGAGGAATTATGCTACACTACGTAACTGTCCTTTCTCAGGGTAGACAGACATTTATGCAGGTGGTTCATATTGGGTCTAGCAATGCTTGGGTACTACTTCCATTCCCTAGAAAACTTTGTGACTCAAATCAAAGTATTTCAATAAATCTTCAATCCACCCAGGAAGTGCACTAATTAGCTTACAGTATTATACGATTAAATGATGTCTATGGCATGGATTTGAATTAATTGACAGCGAAGTATACATTCTCACAACTGAACTCCATTCTGGGGGAGGGGAGGCAAAAGAGGACACACCCAAGATGATGTAACCTTCACAAGCAATAACAATGCAGAAAAATAATTATGAAATGGGTATCAGAAACAGGTCTCAAAAGGTCACCTGTAAATCAACTCAGACTTACATTGATTCATTCGACTACTGCATAGGCCTAGCTCCTTTTATCTAAAGCAAGGCCAAAACAATTCATGTCATGGCAATATTTTTACAACTGCAAATAGTATATCAATGCACACAACAATAACAAATAATAATCAGACATGAAGATGGTCTACAAGGCTATTTCTATGTCAGACACTACATGTACACAGTCATGCATCTATTCTGCTGTATACACAGAGGATGGAAATTGATGACTGATGAACCATCAGATTTGCAACACAGCACAAGAAATACATTTTGTTACTTCCTCAAATTCATGTTAGCCTCTTATATAAACAAACCCTGGCTGATATTTCACTCCCATACCAATGTACGTTGGAAAACTTAGTCACATAGGTGACTAAACATTACACAGCCCATGATATTGCAGTATTTGTTTCCTTTACCTACTCTAAAGGGGGTACCTCTTGAAAAGAATTTCACAGCAACTTATCTTACCCATTTCCATGTATATATGTGTATGTGTCTTATTCCCCCCCCCCTCCATTTCATCTAGTTGTCAAACAGGTTGTTCCAGGAATTTTGATTTTCTGCTTTCCAGGCAGAGAATAACCTTTCCTACTCTTTTTGCCCACTTTCACCCCACCCTTTTCATCCACACCCTCCTACAGAGATAACACTGAAGACAATACCATGCCCGTTTCCACACACCTTGACAAATTCATAACAAAGAAAGCCAATAGTTCTTTTTCAAAAGCAAAGCTATTTGATCATTTTTGATAATGACAGGAACATCCCCAATGTCTTTACCCCACTATCAGCCCAGTGCACAGACAGTGATATACTAAATGAGAAAATAAAAGATAAAAAGAGTTTTGGTTTGTAGCATAGGGCCAGCAAGAGTAGGTGTCTTATGAACTTATGAACTCAATGGGTCCCTTGAAAAAAGGACAGGTCAGTGTGCTGATAGCCCCTGTCACAAAGCCACAGGAAATTTATTTCCATTAACTTTTGTTCACAAAGGGACGGCCCAACATTATGGCTAGTGTGGAGGGGGAAAATGTGCATAAAATGTTAGTTTTTTAAAGAGAAAAAAAAATCTGAACACAAACCTTATAAACTTGCCCATATGTGCCATTTCCAACCACTTCCACCAGCTCAAAAATCCCAGCAGGATCCTATACAATAAAGGTGAGGAAAATGAAAGGATGGTTGGGAGAAAGACAGAGAGAGGGAGGAAAAAGAAGACATGGATGTTAGGTTTAGGCAATTACTACTGGATCCCCAAAACGCACTCTCTGGAGTGGATCGTTTAGCAGCGCAGCTGTTTCACCCTGTTTTTCTAAGCACATGCCAATGCATGCAAACAAAGGAAAGGAACCCAAGACTCAACTCATCTTCCCCTCGCTTCTGCCAGGGCACAAAATGGGAAGCCAACGAGCCAACCAGCAAAGGGCCTCTTTTGGGGTGTAGCAACCGCCCTCTATTATAGAGGGCTCTTCTCCCACCCCCCGCAACCTACAACCCCAAGTCTTCCTCTCGCCCTCCCTTTCCTCCCCCCTCCGCCCCAACCCAGCTCCGAACAACAAAAGCCACGCCAGGGAAGACGTCGCCCGCTTTGTGTGGATAGCGGGAGGGAGACAAGACGGCGAAGGGGCGTCTGCGAGCCGGCCCCCCCCCCCCCCCCCTCCCCCCCCCCCCGCCCCAAGTCACACTCACCCGCAAAGAGGAAAGGTCTATATCTCCCAGACTTTTTGCAGGAGAGTCATTCGCCATTTTTCCTTTTTGTTATTTTTTCTTAACTATATAAATAAAGAGCCAGGCACTCAGCACGCCACGGTGAGAATGCAAAGCGCCACCCTCTTAATCTCCCTCTCTCTCTCCCTCTGCCTCTCCGAAACCTCTCTTTCCTCTCTCCGCCCTTCCGTTCCTTGCTTTCTTCAGTCCGGGGTAAAACTCTTCTTCAATGGAGAGATGGAGGAGATGAAGGAGGGCGGTGGAGGGCTCTGCGCTGCTTAGCGTTTCGGTGGAAGAAGAGATTGGGCGACGTACGGCTACCGCGATTTCTTTATCGCTTTAAAAATAGTTCCTTTTCAATCTCAGTTCGCGCGAAGGTCGCTCTGAAGCGGATTCACACCATCGGGAAGAAAGAGCGGGCGCTCCCAAGAGGCGTCTCTTCCCCGGCAGCTACATCCAACCTAAGAGCCCAGAGCCGGCGGTGGGAGAAGGGCAGGCGGCGGCGGCGGCGGCGGCGGCTTCGTCGCGCGCGCGCGCGCAGAGCAACTCGCTCGCACCCACCCACCCACCCACCGGAGCACGCGAACAATAAAACGCCACCCGGACACAGTCGCTCCCTGCCTCCCTCCCTCGGTTCTCTGTCTGCTCCTCCTCCTGCTGCGCCCAGAGCGCGGAGACACTGGCTCTTCCACGGGAGCTTCCTCCAGCGCTGGGGAAGGGAAACAAAGCGAGCGCAGGAGGAAAGAGGTGCGAGAGGATACAAAATAAACTCTCGAGTCAGAGGAAGCAAACAGCTCCGTCTTTCTTTCTCCGACAGGAAAACCCAGCGGAAACACACGCGCACCAAAGCACTTCTGGGTAAATGGAGGTGGGGGGAAGAAGGGGAGGGGGAAACCGTCTCCTGCTCTCAGGCAAAGTCTGCCTAGGGAAATCTCTCTTTGAGCGAGTCTATCGATATGCAGCCAGGGTGTGGCACAGAACAATGGATGGAAGTTCTCTGGTGAGCTTTACGGCTAGGCCTAGCTCCCCAGAAGATAAAAGTAGGTATAGGCAACTCATCATCCTTCCTGAACAATGCAGGCTCCGGGCAAGTGCTCCTTCTGTGTTAGGGAAAGATGTACTAGGTGGGAACAATGGTGATAATGCCCACGAGTCAGGGTCACTATTTCAAGTTAGGGGTGCAAATCCTCCACAACCCATTTGAAACAGTGATTTTATGTCAGCTCATCCCTGTGGTTAGGCCTCATCCAGAAGACTTTTTCTTTGATTTATATCCTGCCTTTCATTCAGGAGTCAAGACTGCCTTCCTGTTTTCCACCATAACAACAACCCTGTGAGGTAGATTGGGCTAAGATTCAGTGCTAGGCAGTGAGCTCCCATGGCCTGAGACTGGACTTGACCCTGAGTCTCCCTGGTGCCGGTCCAACCACATAGGCCCTTGTTAATAAAATCAGTAACAGCTCTGATTAATTAAAGAAGGCTATGTGGTAATTAAGAGTTGCTTGATCCTACTCACCTCAAACCTGTTTGCCAGAGGCCATTGAGCGTAGGCCTGGTACCACCAGTAATTTTGGATAATGCGATAGGAGGACTACTGTATTCGCTCTGTCTCTGTGGTATGATCTCTTTATCTAGCAGCAATTACTTGACATCACCAGAAAGGGATAGGAAAGCCGCCTCTGGAAAACCCCAAATCTAATTAATGTAGACCAGTATTTCCCAGTGACAGAAACTGAGTATGACTCCTGCAGTGTTTGGGCACATTATAGTTATGGCTTGTGGGAATATTCTCTAACACATCCTTAGGACCTGTAGTTGGCAAAAGGTGGTACAGTTGGTAGTATGCTAAAGAGACCAGGAGCCTAACTCGAGAAAGATAGCTTCATGCTATAGGCATCTACTTTTCAATGAAAACTGGGAATTTCTTATATTGTTATCCTTGTAGTAAATTCACTGAATTAAAACCATCTGAGTCTTACTATACTATGACAAATATTAGAGACAGCCTTGAATCATTTTGGACTGTTTGTTCTTCTAGTCCAGTATTAGTCCAGCTAGAATTGCTCTCTAGAACTTCAGGCAGAATGTTTTCACTTGCCTCTTTTAATTGAGATTCGGGGAAAAGAAACTCTACTCCTAGATTAGTTATTAGACGCCGTCAAGTGGGGGTTGACTTCTGGTGACTGTAGGGAAAAATGCTTGCCATCTTCATTTGACTTTAATAATGATTTATAGCTTTTTAAGGACATTCCAGTAACATCCTTGATCCTATCCATCAATTTTATCCATTGTCTTTCCCTTCTACTTTTCTCAGTTTTCCCTATAATAATTCTTTTTCATCCACCACCCATTTGCATCACATGCCCAAAGTATGTGAGTTTCTGTTAAGCTGGTCATTGCCCCAAGGGAGCAGTCAGTCTGTATTTGTTCCAGGCCTGAATTATTACTTCTTGCATCATCTGTGGTATTCTTAATAACTGTCTCCAAATTCATTATTCAGAAGTGTCTGTCTTCTTTTTCTTGCTGTTTCTCAGTGTCCAGCTTTCACAGTTATACATTATACCTACAGTTGCTTTAACTATTATGTTTGTTGTCACTGAAATATCCGTAGACTTCATGATCTTGGCTACCTTCCTTCATAGAATTAATCTCCTCTTTACTTCTCCAGGACAGTTCATCTTTATCCATGAGCCCA